GAGTGTTGCCTTTAACATGTAATCTGGACAAGAATCCTCCAAAATCCAGCTGGTCGCCTTACGTGAATAGTACCCACCAGTATCATTGAGCATGGGTTCTTCAAAGTCTTTTTCATAACATTCCATATTTTTCATGCCAATCTCAACAAAAATATCCAAGACATTCTTCAGTAGTGCCCTGTCTATCTGTTCTCCCTCGCGTTCTTTGTCAATCTGCCATCAAGCAATTCTTACACTTTGTTTCTTATTCAAAATAAGACTTACAATCCTGAAAAGATACAAGGCATGAACTCACCAGAATAATTACAGCATCTCTGACTTTATCTTTTATTACATTGTATACCTAAAATTAGAAAAAGCAGTATCATGAAATGAGTCAACAGGATAATTGAAACAAAAAGAAGCATATTGAAATCCAACTCAAACTAGCACATAACATTAATAATTTAATATTAGAAACAAAAAGAAGTCATCACATACCTGCTCACGGAAGCATGTTAATCCAACTTCATTAAGTGCAGGAAGTGTTCTCTGTGCAATGAAGTACCTATCAAGATAATGGAAGAATCGCGACAGCCACCGGACCATGACTTTATGATTCAACCATCTTTTAACAAGCTCCCTTAGCATGAACTCATCATGCTTCTCTATTAAAGATGGCAACACCTGGTCAAGTGGAAGATGGAAAGAAAAAAGAACAATGAGCAACAAATCAAGTACACTAACAACAAAAAAGTCAATAGTTAAATCTTTTTATTTCTTACCAACACTCATATTTTATCTATTGATGGTAAAGTAATTTTTTTGATGGCATACTGATGGTAAAATAGTTAAAAAATTAAGAATCTCCCACAAGACTCAAGGATAAAAAATGGGACTACAAAATTAACAACCAATCTTAAAGAAAGCAGTAGAAATTTTCATGTATCAAAATAGCTTTGAAACAGGAAACAGAGAACCTGAATCAGATCAGAGCCAGATATATTATCAGCTGCAATGCACTTTTATAAGCAAGTAGATAATAGAGGTTAGAGGCCTGGGAAACAAGGTTCGTTTATAGCCATCTGAGATTTCAAAAATTCTCAGAAAGATATGCAGTGAAGATACATGGATTCCTGGAAATAATAGGTGTTCTTATAATTAAAGGATTAGACACCCCTTTTTAATACAATGAAGAGAATAAATGATGGATTCAACAGAAATATATAAATAATAATATAGGATCTACAAAAGAACATGCATGCTGCAGTCAACAATAACAGAACATAGCCCAACATTGTCTAAACAGATGGACAGAAACATCATCTAGAAGACAGAGAGTTAGTCTACACAATACGAGTATTTTTACAATCCAACAAAGTTCAGAATATGGGATAAGCATCAATGTTCCTCACCGTTGAAGTAATATACCCCTCAAAAGCTTCCCGGTACTTGTCATATAGCTGTTGGGAATAATCATGAGGAGGCTTCTGTGTACACATGTTGTAGATTGTTCTGCAATTGGAATTGATGAAACGATCATGACAATATGTTCAAAACGGTTGTTAACAAAAACTCACAATCGAAAACAGCAAATAGAAGGTTACGTGTAAAGCATCATATATTCTTCTCCGCTAAATGGTTGCACTGGCTGCTCCTCCAAAATCTTCTTCAATTTTGTGATCCCCTTCTGCAGGTAATCCCATCCTTGATCCAATTCAGTAGTCTTATGGTCCATTGTTGAGAATTACTGAAGGTGAGATTTCTTCAAATTTAAATCTGTAGATACATGAGAAAACCATCAAAACATGATCCATACTGTGTCAATGCAATAAACCATATTTGTAAAAATAAGGGACACTAAACAAACTAATGGATAGTAATCAGGAAAACCCTCAGCAAATACAATACCAATTCACTAATTCCCAGTCAAAAATTACAAAACGAAACTTCAAGGGAACAAATTGCACCAA